CGCCCCCGCATAGGCGAGGAAGCCCACGGGGGCTGGGTGGAGAAGTGGTCCAATGACACCCTCCCTCCCCCAACAGGCAAGGCTCCAGCTCTCTCGCTCCTATGAAGATCAGAACTCTGAGAAGGAATTTAAAATACTCAATCGCCCCCGGCTGATAAAATTGGAAGACTGCAGAGTGTAAAAAGGCCCTGGTGGCACAGTGGGTTAAGCACCAACTGGTAGCCACCAGCCATGTCCAGTTCAGACCCATCCGCCCCTCTGCCATAGGCTCCATAAAGAGGTCAGGCTGGCGTCAAGACCCCTACAGAGCAGCTCTTTTCTGCCCCACAGAGCCCCTGCCTCTGGGTCTGTTTAGACTCGCAGAGACCCTGTGGGGCACAATAGAAGTGTTCCTTGCATTTCCAAGATTGTAAATCTCACAGGAGCGAACATCCTCCTCTCTCTCTGGCAGAGGATTTGACTTTTTCGGTTAGCCCCTGACTCAGACTCTGTAGGATGGAGTAGAATTGCCACACGGTGCTTCCTCGGGGGCTGTTGTCTTTACAGATGCAGACTGTGGAGTTTTCTTCCTCGAAGCAGCTGGTGGGCTTGAACCGCCAACTTGGTGGTTAGCGGCCAGTTCTTTACCAGGGCCCCTTGCAAGATCTGGGAGACCTGCATTCAAAGCCACGGTCCCCTCACTTATGACTGCTAGCCCTCACGTCGACCTGAATTAGAAGTGAAGGAGGTCCCAGAAGCCTCGAAGGTGTTTGTTCACCTCTAACGTGGAGGTGTTACTCCCCCTCCCTAAGTGATCAGGCATGGCTCCCCCAAAGAACGGGCAGCCCTCAACTGGCTCAAATTCTCCATTGCTGGCCATTGCTTTCACATGTTATTACTGAGGGGCTGTGGCCCAGAGATGCACTGTGATGTGCTCAGGGCCACAGCAAGGCCGGCTCAGTGTCCGGCCGGCAGCAGGACTCCTGCCTGGGCTCTGGGCTCTGGGTTACTTGGGAAGCCTCTTACTTTGTGCCTCTCAGCTTTTGTTTCTGTGTTAACCTCTTTGTCTGACTTTCCAACTCAGGCTTCCTCTCCCCACACCCATTTCCTGTCTCCCCCCACTTTCTGCAGCTGAGGTGCACACGGCTGCCATCTCATAAACCCCAACAATACTCTGCGGGCTCCCCTCCCCCTCCCTGAGCAGACCTGAAGCTGGGGCCATGACGCATTTATACTTTCCTCTGGGTAGGGTCAAGGCCCAACCCTCGGGCTTGACAGAGACCAACTGGAATTGCTCAGGTCATCGGTGGCCTGGCCCTCAGCCTCTGATGACTGTCACCCTCCTCCAGGAGGGCTGTGGCTGGCCTCCCCCTGTAACAGAAAGTCCTGCCGGACTGCCCCGGGGTGCCCGGCAGGAGCTGGTGCTCTGTCTTCTTCCTGATGCAGAAGACGGCACCAGGCCCTGTGCCTCTAGCAGGCGCTTGTGGCTCCCTGTTCAATTAAAATTAGCTGGTGCTGCCCTGCCCTTGGGGAGAAGATGGGGCTTTCTGCTGCCATAGAGAGTTACAGTCTCAGAAAGCCACAGGGGCAGTTCTACCCTGTCCTAGAGGGTGGCAACGAGTTGGAATCAGCTCAAGGGCACCGGGTCGTTCGGATGGTTCACGGGCTCAGCTGCTCAGTTTGCATCCACCCAAAGGCTCCTCGGCAGCGGTCTGTCCGGTGGTCCCGTCTGGAACCCCCTGGAGGCCCTCTGGAGCCCAGGCCTCTGACATACACGGTCTGCCTGGGTCAGAATCCACCGATGACCTTGGGTTTGGGTTTGCCCTCTGCCTACAGCAGGGGCTGTTTCTCTGCCTTCAGAAAGACACAAATGTGTCCTGCCTGCTTCTGAAGCAGGCTGTTGTTGTGGATTCTGTTAGCAGATGCCCTGAGTGTGATGCTGCAGTCATGTTGACCTTGACCTTGAGAGTAACAAATGCAGTGCTCAGACGGCACCCCGGGGTGCCGCATGCCTTTTACTGTAGGCAGAGTGGGCGCTTGTTTGCCCCCTGATCACCGATCACCAGCTTCAAAGGCTGTCCTTGACTCTCTTGCCCAGGTGCACCCTGTGGGGTGAGGGTGGGAGGCCCCACCAAATATTCACCCGTCAGCCTTTATCCCCCAAGGATCCACTCTCTGGATGAGTAGGCCAACCCTGGAGGTGTATGGGGACCCCCAGGGCCCGGGGTGGGGGGCTATAGTGGCAGGAAATTTGGGGTGCTGAAGGCTTGTGGTTGGGCTGCTGGGGCCGGGTTGGCTGAGAAGCCCTCGGGAGGAGGCAGGAAGTTAGGGTGGGACGTGGGCGCGGGGAGACAGGCGTTAGCTACGAAGGTGAAGGGAGCTGAGACTGGGTCTGGGCAACCAGGCTGGGCCAGGAGGATCATGTGAATGCGACCCGAGGGCTCCCGGGCTGGGCAGGTAAGGAGCACTGGGGATAAGGGGTCCAGGGCAGCGGTTCTCAACCTGTGGGTCGAGACCCCTTTGGGGGTCAAACGACCCTTTCACAGGGGTCGCCCAATTCATCACAGTAGCAAAATGACAGTTATGAAGTAGCAATGAAAACAATGTGATGGTTGGGGGGCCGCCACATGAGGAGCTGTGTAAAGGGTGGCAGCATTAGGCAGGTTGAGAACCACTGGTCTAGGGGCTCTGGTTGGGTACATGACAGTTGAGGGCTGCAGCCCAGCACCAGGCTGGCCGGGCCTCCGAGAAACCTTGCTGGTGTCAAGCAGCAAGCACGGAGTCCAGTCTGTCGGAACCACGTCTCACCTACCTAGTTGGTGACTCTTCTCCGGGTCGTATTGGGGGCCCGTTCTTGGAACATCTAGTGCAGGGATGGTGGACTGTTAAAAACGCCATCCGAAATCCCCAAGCCCCGTCCATCCCTAGTGTGACAGCCCAGAGCTGGCTAAGCACCCCTTCCTGCAGCCCCAAGGCAGTGGCCAAGCGAGGGCTAGGACACAGCAGAAGCTTTAGGACAGAGTGGCAGCCTACCCTGTGGCCCCCGCCTGCCCTCCATGGAGCAGAACGCCACACAGATTTGAGTCAGGGGACCCAGGATTCATTCTGGTTACTGGGACAGACCTAGTGACCAGACCTCCGGAGAGATGGACACGTGAGAAGTGGTTTTAGCACTCACTGACCAGTACTGCTTGAGAGAGGGGCCAGGCCCTTGACTAGACCGGATGTATCGATCATCTGCGATGGAGTCTCCAGGGCAGAAACATGGGGTCTGACTTTGAGAAGCCAGAGGGTCTTGGGGGCTGAGAGGAAAAGCTGTTCTCCTTCCTGACAAGGAGCAGTTGGTTCTGGGCAAGAAACTGCAAACCTTCTGCCTGGACTGTTGCTATTCCTTCCCTTGTGCCCCAGGACACTACTGCCCCCTTCCTCCTATCTGCCCGCCCGCCAGCCCTCTCTCTTCAGCCCCATACCCTGGGCTGCATGAGGAGGGCCAGCCAGGTGGAATTCCTGCTTCAAACCCGAGAAAGGTGGCGGCCCAGGAAGGAAGGCATCATCATTTCTGAGCTCTGCACTTTCAGTTTCCTGGGGCGTCCCCGCCTCAGTCAGGCATTCCAGGTTGCCCTCTGCCCCGGGAGGTTTTGTTGGTGCCACAATTTCTCCCTCGTCAGCACATCCCAGCCTTTCCCTGTCCCCAGGCCTGCAGCCTCCCAGGGCCACAGGGGGACATGCTGGTTCACACTGGGCATGGGGGTGCCCACCCACACCCTGGCTGGCAAACAGGTCCCTCCCGTCAGCCCACTGCTGGTTAGGCCATCACTGGGGTCCCTCACAGAGGCCGTGGGAACAGAGGTTGCTCCAAGCCTAGAGAGGGCGGAGGGTCCAGTGGAGGAGAGAGGATTTCCCACAGGGCGAGCTGGAAGAGTCAAGGCAGTTCTGAGAAGGACAAAAGTCCAGGCCATGAGACTGGAGCTTCATGCAAGCCCAGGGGTGTGGTGTGGCAAGGCAGGTAGACGAAGTCCCGTCTGGCTGTGCCATCAACTTGGCCTTTTCCTCTCTGAACGTTCGTTTACTTATCTATAAAGAGGCAACGATGTCTCACCCTCCCTCTCCGTGTGCTTGTGGGAATTGAGGAAATCCCAGCGATGGCCGTGGACCCTAGGGAGGACTGGTGACAGAGGAGGTGCTTAATGGAAGTTAGATATTCTCCACCAGGGCGCCCGAGGAGGGCTGTCCTCACCCAGAATTACTTCCACTCAGCACCTTGTCCGGCGAGCGAACCACCCAGTCCCTCACATCTGTGGTGCGGCTTTGCATATCAACTTGCTTCCTGTGTAGAGAGGGTGTGGGAACTCAGGCGGGCTGGATTCTGGGCTCAGCCATGGAGCCTATCTCAGAGGAGAGTGCACACACACACACACACACACACACACACACACACGGCTATAAGAAACCCAAACACACAGAGACAGACACCCATCCACTCCTTTCCCTCAAGCACGTGTTAGACCCAGTTTCTCTTTCAGCTGCTTAACTGCCCACCCTCCACCTTCTCCCCGCCACTGAGAAAAAAAAGAATCTAGGGGCCTGATAAGAGAGCACAAAATGCAATACCAGGGAGGCCATAAATTAGAACTGGAAGAGGAAGATGAGATAAAGATAGAAACATAAGACGAACCAATAGGAGGTGGTGGTTGGTAGGTGCTGTTCTGACTCATAGCAACCAGCCCCGTGCGCAACAGGACCGAGCCGGCCCGTCCTAAACGAGCCTCACGGTCATTGGTAGGTCCGAGCCCATTGTTGCCACCGGTCTGTCCACTCGCCTCGTGGAAGGTCTCCCTGTTTCTCACTGTCCCTCTGCTTTATCGGGCAACAGTTTGTGGCTATTGTTAACCATTCAAGTAGTTCTCCAGGGACCGGTTTCTCCTGATAACACGCTGAAAGTTTGTGAGGTTAGGACACGCAAGCTTAGCCTAACTTAAGGTCCTATGCGCTTGCCACATACAAACAACGTTGCTCCGTGCTTCCGAGCAAACATTTCACAGCCAAAAACACACCCTGATGAAAAACCAGCATCAAAATCCGAGCTCCGCTTATCAAGAGGAACCCAGTTATCCTGACTTTGACACCTACATACAGTTTCTTCTTCACAGATCATGCTTGGACATCACACACACAAGCTAACAAAGCAGCCCATGCTCCAAAATACAAGATTGAGGGCAACCTCACGTCAATGAAAGCATTTCTTAAGGGGAGCTGGGTGGGATGGGGGAAGCTGAGGCCAAGATAACTTCCATGGATGTGATGGCAACTAAGCAACCCGGGGTTGGGTTTGAGGCATCCGGACGGCATCTCCAGAGCCTGTTCCAAGAACATGAGTTCCGAGAGGCCTCTGGAAGGAAAATGTTCTAGAAGCAAGTCCACATGGCATCAGCTACAAACTTTGTCTCCCGTCTCAGTTCACAGCCAACATTCGCTTGCTAAAACTCCAAAAGAGGAGAAGCCTGGTCAGTTGGTTTAAGCCAGTGTTTCTCAAATGTCGTTGGCCGTTTTCCTCTCTCACCTATCCCTCGAGAGGAGGAGAGGAGTGGAAGGATACGGCCTCGCTGATCTTCTTCCAAGGATCGTCGCTCTTGAGTTTTCGAGTTGGCCGTGGTTTTGTGGTCTTTCAGCCTCCCTCCCCCCAGTGATTAGTGTATGTCTATTGTTAGAAATTCAAGTAGTACAGTGAGCATCCAGAAGCAAGCAAACAAAAAAAGAACTAGAATAGAGACGCCTCCAATCCGCTTCTGGGATGTGTGTTGTGAACAATTTAGCGTGTGTCCTTCTAGATGCTTCTATGTACAGCTTCTGAAGAGCACACTGGTGAAAGGGCTAGTCTCTGGTGCCGGCTGATGAAGTTGATCTCGAAGTTTCGCCACAAGCTGTTTGCCATGAGGCCTCACAAATCGCTTGACTCTCTGAGCACCTCAGCGTTCGTATCCAGAAGACAGGTTTGAGCATGACCCGTGCCTCACCGGGAATGTATTGTGAATTATGTGATATCGTGCACCTAAAAGCTCAGCCACGAACCTGGTTGACAAAAATCCCTGTTTGTACACATATGAATGCAAATGGGCGTATGCTCTACATTCTGTTCTGCAGCGGCTTGCCACGCTGCATCTCGGACCTCTTTGCATGTCAGCACAGGGAAATCTACCTCATGCTTTCAGCGGTGTCCAGTAAAGATTAGCTCGGTAGGTGGGTGATGGTGATGAGTTGAGATGCTACTTCCTGGAAAGGAGGACTGGCTTTTGCTGCCTGTGTCGTTGTGAGTCACAAACATGGCATACTGAGCTGATGAGAGCCCTACAACTTCCTGTCAAAGTGGAGTGACCCACTGAGGGACACCCACCTCTGTCGCAGAGGGCAGGGCCAGGTCTGTTCTTAGTACTAGCTCAAAGGCACAACCCTAGGAAAACCCAAAGACAAACAAACAGACGCTCTCCCACAAGTCGATTCTCAGTCAGCAGCTGCAGAGGCCAGCACAGAACTGCCCCTGTGAGTTCTCGAAACTACCTCTGTACGGGAGGAGAAAGCCCTGTGTCTCTCCCACGGACAGCCTACTGGTTCCGTCCTGCTGGCCTTTTGGATCGAAGCCCAGCAAGGAACCACAGCTCCACCAGAGCTCCTAGGATACCAGGGAAGTGTGCATTGACTTTTTCATTTTTCGCCATTTTAGTTTTATTATCGGAAAAAGAATACAACATAAGAGACACATCGGGCAAGGGCTCAGAGGGTTCCCAATGTGAAATGTCCATGTCCCAAAGGGCTCCATACCTCCCACCTGTCTCTCACCCACCAGGAAGCCCAGGGAACATCCAGGCCCGGAGTCTGCCCTAGAGTCTTGCTAGGTAGGCACGAGCCACAGAACTCAACCTGCAACTGCCCCACCCCGAAGCAGCAACAACCAACCACCGCCACCGAGGGCTCTGGGTGCTTCCGCCTTGGCCAGCCCCCACCCAGGAGACGCTCACCTTTAGCACAAGCCTTCAGACGGGATCTGGAGGGTCAATGGGGCTTTAGTCACGGTGGACATTGCAGGAGTTTAGGGGTGATTTCTCAAGACTCAGAGACAAAGATCAAAATCTTTGGGTAACAGTTCATCATAGACCAACCACACAGATTCAAAGTATTCAAAAAATGTTCCTAGGGGCTATGTCATCTTTCTCCCAAATCCGTTTGTTGTCTTTTCTTTTTAATTGTGGTGAATTGTCTAGGTAGCGGCACCTCTGACATTTCAACGGTCTTCGTATGTGCAGTTCAGTCACCTCCATGAAGTTTTTGTCCGTAGACAGCTCACTCTGGGAAGCCATCTCTTCTAACTCACAGCGGAGGGTTAAGCCCAAAGCTCTCTCTCCCAGAGCAGGTTTCCCCCCAACATGGCCTGTGTGTCACCGGGGTGTGTGCAGTGATTTCAG